AATGTAGACTGGAAAAAATGTAGACTGGAAGGAATGTAGACAGGAAGAAATGTAGGCAGGTAGAAATTTAGACAGGGAGACAGGTAAATGAGTAGACGGATAGGCAGATACAAAAGTAGATAACTTAAACATGTAGTTACTTAAACAGATAAAAAAGTAATATGTTAGACAGGTATATACAAATCGAATATTTATTGGTTAAAACGATTAATTACTTATCGATCCACGCAAATTGCCTTAGGGCAAAACGTCACTAACACTTAGTTTGATAACTATTTTGACAATGAACCATTCTATTAGATCTATTCTAACGTTTATATAGCAAATATCATCAAAACAAAAAATATATTGCTGTGCATTATTTTTACATGATTCTTCAATTTAATAAAATCTATAGATGATCGTCTTATTTGAGCATGAAATATATTTTTGGTATCTAGAAAAATTTAGTCAAAGTGATAGAGTAATCAATATGTAGTTTAAAATGAATATTTAAAGAGACAAGAATTTAAAATAGAGTGAATAACTACAAAATGAAATTTGTATAAATATAAATAATTGAAATGTGTTTAATGTATATATTTGAAAATGAACCTAAATAGAGAGCTCAGTCTCAAAAACATTTAAGCATACTGTACTTCATTATAAAAATTTAACAAAAATAATACAGTTATCATCCTTTGCGTGATTTCTTCCTTCTTCAGAAAGAATAAAACCTTGTGCATTTTACTTTAGTAAATATTCCCTATTAATCTTACGTTTAGAACTACTCGTTGGCAAATCACTGACAGGAATAAATTAATTTCTGTTGTGTATTTGACGCAAATTTACTTTAGATCTAAATGTTATTTAAAATTCAATTATTCTTTGTAAACAAGGAAATGATTGAAAATTTATAAACAGTGTGTTCATTCAATTTACGTAGTTGTAAACATTGCAATTTCTTGCGCTTTAATTTTTCTCTGTTCTTTTCTGCTTTCGCTGATATCACATCAACTCCGCGATACAAAGAGCAATACGTCAGAGGATATAAAAAAGTAACAACGTATAAAACGAAAAATAAAACTGTGAACAAAAATGAAAAAATCCGTACCCCGACTTCATTCACACGACATTTAGCGAGTTAACACAGTGTATGTAATATTGTGCATATGTAAATTTCGTACAGGACGCATACAGCATGAAATGTATGTGAGAAAGATGGGAAAAAATTAAAAAAATGTTGGCGCTTTTTACAGCGACGCGAACTGAATCGCTTGATGTTTTAATTACGTACATATCCCAGTTTTTTTATAATATCTTGTTTGTATCTCTGCGTATGGAGTAGGAAGTTATGTATGGTATTGCACCTACAGAGATGTCCATGGCATATTAATTGGATGTGGTGGACTGCCATTTTTCAGTATTCATATGAAAAAATCTAGTGCATGATAATACTTATAGGATATTCCTATTGATGGACGTTATGTTTTTAATACACTGGAACTAATTTCATTTCATTTTCAAAATCGACCGAATGTCTTCATATTGAATTCAGCTACCAATGTCTACTATATATAATTAAATTATTTTAATATTTATATTAATTGAATAGCCAATGCGCTTGAAAAATCGGAAATTAAGTATAATTATTTATTTATGCATTTCGACACTGGTATATATTATGATTTGTTTAATAAAATATAAAGATGAATAAATACAATGCAAAATTATATATAATCTGCAAAAGTATATATAAATCAAATAAAAAGAATACAGTGGCTTTTAATTTAATATCATAATTGATTCAACAGCGAGATCATTATTTTAAAATAAAACAGATTACTTTAAGAAGTGTTTCATTTTTTGAACTAATAAGTCAGACACATAAAAACAATTTTGCAAAGTGATTCCCAATTGAAAAAAATTGAGTAATTGACATCATACAAATTTATTCAACATTTTTATACAAGGTCATGTGATTTAGTGCAACTGCAATATATTATAATAAATAGAGAGATACATGTATTCGGTTCAGTTCAAATTATTTATAATAGCTGATTTTAATTAGTAACCTCATTTACTCTTTTCTTTTTATTTCTTTTGTTTAATTTAGAAAATGTTTTAATTTTTGTATATTATATATGCTACACAAGCTTTAGCTTTCAAGTGTATGCTTCACAAGATTTCAGGTTCTATTCTTGCCGTGTTATTAAGAAACAGTGATATAAGTTTTAACTCACAAATATAGCTCTGAATTTTAAGTGGAACATATATAATTACGGTGCACTGCTGAATACCTAAATTGCATTGCTGCTAGAAATAGAGCTAATATTATTCTTATCACAAAATTAATGTTGTTATGAGGCTGTAAGGAAAATTCATCACGACAGGCCATAGAAATTATAAATTTCGATTGCTGCTCAAAAACTACAAAAAACGAAAAAAAACATAGCATAATATTCACTTGAAAATATCACGTAATATCATGTAATGCATCTTATTTTAAATAAAATAACTAATTCTTACACTGAAAATAATAATAGCAAATATCTGAAGCTATAATTCTACATTTTATATTATAATGTAAAATGTATAATTATAACATATTATTTTAAAATATCATTAACATATCATATTATTTTTAGAAATTTATTAGTAATTAATTTTACAAAAATTACAATTTTACAACAATAAGTCTTGCTGTCATATTTATATCTTATATTTAATATATAAAAAATAAATAAAATAAAGAACAACGATTTCTTTGAAACGCTATCCATATGATGACATCATAAAAAATATGAAATAAAAATTCATGAAAAAATGTAAAATCAAAGCACTTATAATAAAAATAATAATTATCAATTAAAATAGTTAACTAATGGGACGACCAGGCCTTTTCTTGGAAATTAGCTTAGAAATTATAGTAATCGCAAAAAATCGAAAATAATTTTTTTATATATCTTTACGTTTCAGAGGTTTTTGAATATTTTGGCATACCTTAGAAAAAATGGATGTGTGTGTGTGCGTATGTGTGTTAGCGTATGTGTGTTAGCGTATGTGTGTGTGCGTATGTGTGTGTGCGTGTGAGTGTGTGCGGATACAAATGTTCGTCGACGATTTCGGGAACACGGATCAACCGATTTGAATAATTCAAAAAACATTCGATTTGTATTCATAGGGAGACTTGCTGATTAGTTTTTAGCGAAGGCATGTCTAGCCGTTCCGAAGATACGGGGCAAAAAGTGCCAAAAACGGTAACTCATTTTTTTAAAAGAACGGAGCGTCTAATTTTAATAATTCTAAAAACATTTTACTTGTATTTACAAGATAAAGAACTGATTTAATTTTATGGCAAGCAGATTTAGCGGTTATGAACTCTCAATAAAAATAAGTCAAAAAAATGTCATTTGGCGGTCAAAAATGTTTATTGGACTTATGCACATCAAATTATCAGATATTTTATACAGATTTTCATAATGTGTACACAATTTCTGTATTTTTTTTTGGTTCCGTACCAAGATTTTTGATTACGGTATGGGAAGTTCCAGCAATTTGCCTTAAAGCACGAAGCCATGCACCCCACTGTTTTCACAAAAATCTTGCTGTCTTAAATTTATGGATTTGTGTACAGTTCATAGAAATTGATTAATAATTATCTAAATATATTCTTTATGTCTGTAGCATCTAACGATCTGTACGCAAAACTTCTCTAGTTTGTTTAATCGATGATATCATTGAATTTAATCGTGATTACATTAAATGTAATCGTGAGTAAGATTTCCTTTAAGAAAAAGCTTAATATTTCACAAAGTAATTTATAAAGGCTATGTTCAATTTTATTTTGAAAAAAAAATCGACATTTTTAATGAAATTTAACATGGCGATAAAGTTAATGCATTAAGCATTTTTACGAAATTTTGTTGAATTATATAAATTTATTAAAATTTGAAATAATGAGTGCTTATTTATTTATTTATTTATTCATTTATTCATAAAAAAACCGTAATCAATAATAATAGATATTATTTCAGGCTCTTTTTAAACTTATTCATAATTATTATTAAAAGGATAGTAATTTTATAATAATCATAGAAGCAGCACGAATTTGACTTCTGAAAAAAAAAAGCTGAAAAAAAGCATTCGAACATTAAATACAATGTCCATTATCAAATTCATCATATTATTTTTTATTAGCCAGTCAAGCTCAAAATTCTTGCACAAGGTTGAATGTTACACTAATTTAAAAACGTAAAAATTCAAATATAATATAAATTAAGTAAAATATAATAAAATAGCAATAAAAACATGGTTGTAAAGGCTATCAAATCATTATCAAATAGTCAGACTACATAGATAAAGGATAAGGATTATGCAAGAACATAGTTATTGAAATCAAATTGAGAAAATTCAGTAATGTCATAAAAAGCTAATTCTTTAAAAAGTTTAACTAGGGAAGCATGAAATTTTTTGATGTTTTGCATGAAGTTTCGGATATTAAGCTGGAAGTTTATTCATAAACTGAATACCTAAACCGTCGATCGTATTGAAAGAGCTGGCTAAATTATATGTGCGCGCCTTAATAAGTTTGTGTCTAGTATTGTAGTTTGAGGAGGACGAAGCCATATCAAAAAATGCATGGGACAGTTGGAATATTAATAAGACATACAAACACATATTTGTGCACTATTATTAAAAAATATCTGACATGTGTTTGTGAGTTTTCAATGAAAGTGAAATTCGAAATGAATAAAAAATATATCTATATATCTTATTCTCAATTTCGGTTGATTAATTTAATCATTGCATATACTTAGAAGTTCATGCAACTTGCCATAAGGCATAAAATCACTTACACTTAGTTCGATATTTTATTTACAGTTATAACAAAAATTGAAATTACAGTCAAAATATGCAGATTTACCTCAAATGCATTTTATAGATATTTAACTTTAAAAATCTTGTTATCTATTTGTATAATATGAAAATTATCCGTTTATTCCCAGGTGGCCGTTTCGAGCCAGCAATATCGGAAGGGTCGGACGCTTACAAAGTTGTCATGAAACTGACAATAAGGAATGTGGGTCCGTCCGACTATGGAACTTACAAGTGCGTCGCGAAAAACTCGCTCGGCGATACCGATGGCTCCATTAAACTTTACCGTAAGTTTTCCCATTAACATGTTATTTGTAAAAAAACTATTCCCAATGTACTTTTTGGGATTACGTGTTTTGTAAAGGATATATATTCTGTTTAATATGTGTTTGCGTATTTGTTTTCCATTGACTTCAAAAATAATTTAGTTTTTATAGAACAATAGAATATCATTTGTTAAAGTAGGAAAATATACAAGAAATTATTTATAAGATTTTCTTAAAGTATACGGTGACTAGAGCCACAGCGGCGTTTGATGGCACGATAACCTACAGAAGAAACTCGATTAACCGGACTAATTGTGGAAGAAAATTGTTGTATATTTATTAAAAATATCATATACATACATAAATATCAACGAAAATAATGTTTATTAAAAAACCTTATGTAAATTTTCTTAGATTGCATTACATACATCTTCTAAACTGCAGCATTAAAAGTTTGAATTGTAGGTATGTACAAACATAGAAATTGGAAATTGACCGGATAAACGAAGTTCTACTGTAAATTTAATTTCATATTTGGCTACATTAAACAAAGGCAGTATCATAAAAGATCAGAGACGCTATAAGCTCTAATCATTAGCTTGTTTTGGCTTCATTGTAATTCTCGTTGACACGTCCGTCGTGATTGTCGATTTATTGAGTGTTGTTTTTTTCCATTGCTGTTCTATTTTTTAGGTGTTATCTATTTTTATTTTGCCACAAGTCAATTAATTATCAATTATCACTTAATCTCATCCAGTGTTATTAGTGTGAATCTTTTTCTTTCCATAATCCTAGGTCGCCTGACAGATAACATCACTTGTTGTCTATTTCCATTAGCTTTTCTATTTTTTTAGTGTTTTTTATTTCCATTTGCTGTTCAATCTTTTAAGTGTTATCTATTTTCATTTTGCCACAAGTTCTTCAATTAATTAGTTTCAAACATCAAGCAACTATCGACTAGGCTGCCGAACAGATAACCTCACTTTTCTTAATATACTCAATATTCCATTCCTCAGAATAGCTATCAAATTATTTATAGTAAATTACTCCCAAAAGGTCTAAACAACCCCCCATCATCAACAATTTGTTAATGACTTTAGAATTTATGGAAAATCCAATCAATTTTTTGAGATTATTTTATTATAATTGTACTGGTGAAGATTATTAAATAGATTATAGTAAATATATTATAATATATTGTAGCATGTTGACTACTAGGCGACCAGACTACCGAACAGATTACTTAATATTCTCAATTTTCCATTACTCGGAATATTTATTGGATTATGTACAATAAACAATGGATTTAATAAAGACCTTTAATGTTGTGGAAAAAAACAATCAACTTTTGACGATTATTTTATTATTACTTATTTTTTCTTTTCATTGATTTCATTCTGATTCATATGATTTCATTCTAATTCATCTGATTTCAAAAGATCAACCTATAGAATTCCTAAAATATAAACATACTAGAGTTAGATACAAATGTGACATATACAATTAACATTGTACTCATTTTTATGTAATTGATGTTTCAATGATAAAAATCGCTTCAATGATAAAAAATATTCTGCTCGTTGAGTTAATATAAACATATTCGTATCAATATTATAATATAGACAGATTTTGAATTTAAATTAAATTTTTCATAAAAAGTAAATAGAAGTTTATGAAAAAAATATTTTTTTATACCATATTAGTTACTTAAACAGCATAAACCTAAAAAAAAATGTATTAATTTATACTAAAATCCCATTTCAGATATACCAAAATCGGCGTTGCAAAACTATGATTCAGATTTACATAAAGGTAAATTTTCATTTATATAAAAATTTTGTACTTTGTAAACATTTTATACTTTTGAGCTATTATTGAATTACATTATTGGATTTTATCCAACATATTGTTAGTAAGTTTATTATATTTAATAATTGTTATTATAGGTAAAAACAGAAAGCAGTATGGTCATGGTCCTAATGATATTCGTGACGATGGAGGTGAAAACGTTGCAGGTCAGAGAGGTAAACTTCTAAGCATGATGTGCATGAAAACTCTTTGAATTTTTCTTTATTTATTTGCTTTTAAAATGCACCTATTTATTTTATAAATTATAGAAGTATTAGCTATGAATATATGTATCATCTCTATTTTTTTTGATAAACTGCTAGTCAAGTTGAAAATATGGATCCTTTACTCAGTCCGTTTATTTTGAACAACAAGTTGTAGAACCTATTTGATCCTGATGCCATTTTGAGAGCACATACCTACTATAACACTATATATATGCCCTTACATGTTATGACGTCGACTATTAACTGGATTATGACCAATGCAGATCTATATTGTTTCCTATACGACCAGTTATGACCTCAAAACCGGAGACCATCCACTAATTCCCTTCGAGGCAAATTCAAATGTAGTTATTTCAGAGAGTAGATATAAACTAAGTTGGGTGCATTGTATCACATTTATTCAGACATTAAACAATTTATACATTTACGAGACATGAGAGATTATAGTTGTTACTATATTTTAGATGTTTGATGTGATATAAATTTTGAGAAAGAAATTAAGAAAATGAAAAAATGTATATTATTTTGAAATAGAATTATAAATAACTGCCTGCGTTTGATTTTATCATATAAAATATAGTAAATTCTTGAAATAACATTTTTTAGTAGTATATTTTTCCAATAGACAGTCGGGTTCAGTAAAACTAAAAATATTATGACTGAAAAAAATGAAAAAAAAAACTAAATGATCATGAAGTCTTCGAGCTATCCCGGTATAAAAATAATTAAGAATGAAAATAAGTAAGCCGACAAGTACCAAATATTTATAAGAATAAAAATATATTTTTTCCTCATTTTTTTCTTATTTAATTTGCTAAATAGAATACTACAAACATCTTTCAATTTTATAATTATCTGATATTATTATCATACATAGAAATAAGAGCGTGCATAAGTAAGTGTAGTTTGAGACTACTAATTAAAAGCACAGTTTTTTTTTTAATTTAATTATAGGAATTAATTTTGTTACTACATCGTACTAGTTTGCTTCTGAAATAGTCAATACACTAGGAAATGAAATGAAAAGTATTCGTCAGTTTATATAATTCTCACAATATTCTAATTAAGCCTTAAATCTAAACTTATCGAATTGAATTTTCTTATTTAAAATAAAAAATATCCCACGACTAATCTTCCCAGAATCAAAGCAAGTTTCTTAGTGATTAATTTACGCATACATTTCACAAATAAAAAGTAACTTTGCTTGTATGTTATTATGCCATATCACACAGATGCACTTATAATCTATCTAAAACGCTTGACTACTCAGTAACCACATAGCATTTTGTCAGTTTTTAGTACCACTTTATATGAAAAATGCTTCGTAACATAGCCTTGCTATTATATTGGTCTATTTTAGGACAAAATTGGCTCATTATTTTAACTAGTTAACAGTGGCTCATGACGAGTATATTCGTCAATCACACAACAAATTTTGATCCTGAGATATAGAATGAAAAATAATGTTTTTCACATAATTGAAAAATATTACTACATTTTAATTTTTTTCATAAGCACATATAACATAAGTATTAAACTGAAAATAGATTAAATTCAATGAAGTCTCATACATATAAATGTAAGAATTTAGGAATAATTTTTGGTGAAAATTGTAATCTATTTTCAAAATAAACAGTAGCCAAAGGTTATTTGAATAGCTAAATATAGAGTCTTATTGAATAATTACGAGTTGAGTTACACAAACTCACTTTTAGGTGAGTTTGTGTAACTTGCCTTAAGGTAAAATGTTACTTATTTACAACTATTTATTTTATACAGTTATAGTCTTGATATTCTAAGAAAATTTTTATTTCAGAATATTGTTTTTCGAGATTTGCAATTTAAATATCAAATAACCACTGTTTTATATGCATGTCGAATATGTTCGTCAATACACCAATTTCTGCCACTTTTCCATAACGAGTATATTTGTCAATAATAGTTAATTGGTTAAAGCTCAGGATATATGATGAACCATATATGAAATTATAAAATAACTATAAAATTGGAATTGCCACAACAACATATAATCTATGCTGCAAAATTAGTACAAATTTATCAAAATCGCGGTAATAAATATTAAATGGCGCATTGGTAACTAGTGTTACAGTCCCATATAACAATATTGATGTCATTACATTGACTCAATTATTATATTTGATCATGAGAGTGATGTAATGAAATTCTGCGGTTAAACCTGACGTTTGACATAGACATTACGCACATAACTCCCCTGCGAGAGTGGTTATTGTGCATTCGGAATACACCATATATGGGTGTGTATGAGGAGAAACTATGTAGCAACATATTTGTCACTAAAATAATTGCACAAACTTTCTATTTAATTTTAACTTCCCGTAGGGTAAGTTATAGTAATCGTCCAAAAATCGAAAATGTATTTTTTTGCATATGTTCACATTTTAGAGGTTCTTCACATTTTGACATACCTTAGATAAAATTGATGTTTGTGTGTATAATAGGGTTTTTCGGTTTTCAAAAACCGGTTTTAAAAACCGGTTTTTTGGCCAAAATTATGGAATTCGAAACCGGTTTTTTAGTGAAAAAACTCGGTTTTCACTGTATGAATGGAAAAGGACAAATATAGCCAAATATAAAAGATAGATGAAAGCGTTTTGAATCTTGAAATCATATCGGTTCAATAGCATTTGATATCTTATCAGTCTGCAATGGTTTCCAGAAAGGTTTTACATATTAATTTAGAATTTCATACCAATGTACATATTAATTTAAATCAGTGGGACTTCTTCTTGAAAGAAGTAACTCAAATTAAAAAAAGAGTTTTAAATCATATAAACCACAAATTAAAGAACAAAAAACTTAGAAATATGTCAGGCTTTTAAACAATCTATATATCAGGCTTTATTGATGGGTTCGAATATGAGTCCAGAATATTTTCAAAAAAATCCTACATACGATTGTTTTCTCCACATTTGAAGTCATTATGAATCGTTTGAGACCTAATTGGAGAAAGTATGTGTGTGTATAATGCAAGGTAAAATTTGACCTTCCGTAGACGTTTTCTTAAAATCAACTGGACCAAAAACTTAATTTTAAAAATTAATTCGATGAAATTCGACAAGGACTGGCGTTGCTTGCTTTTTCGAAATAATCGTCTGAGCCGTTTTCTACAAATTAGCAGAAAATGATAAAATTGTCGTTCACGTTTTTGCCAAAAAACCTGAACTGATTTCAAACATTCTGTTCGAAAGATATCGATTGGGAATCGTGCTGATTATTTTTGCTAAAATAAATGATGACTAAAATATTATGAACCTGTAACAAGTCGTTTAATTTAAAAAAATCATCAAAATTTGGTATTTGGAACGCATGAAAATTTCTTTATTTACACATATCAGCAAGTTCATGCGACTTGCCCCAATTGTAAGGCGAAATGCTACTTAAAATTAGTTAGATATTTTTTTACGGGTTTTATTTTTGGAAAATTACATTCAGAATTTGCACGTTGCAATTGGAAGAGTCAAATAGAAAGCATACTATTATCAGCTCAGGAAAACTGGATGCAGAACTATTGAATTTTATCAGCAATATAAATAATATATCAAATGAAAAGCATACTATTATCAGCGCAGGAAAATTGGATGCAGAACTATTGAATTTTATCAACAATATAAGTATTATGGCAAGGCTATGTTATGTAGCAGTTTTCATACAAAATGGCGCTAAATACTGTCTAAATCCCTGTTGCAGCTTTACGCCCTCAAGGCCAAATGCTACTTACAATTAGTTAGATAATTTTTACGGGTTTTATTTTTGGAAAATTACATTCAGACACTGTGAAACTTGATTTCAAATGTAAAGCAAAAATAAGATTTTTAATAATGTTTGCTCAAGCACATTCAGTAGCCCGGGGGCCCCGTATCTTTAATAAGAAGGATCCGGCAGTAATTACGCCCCTGATAATTATACCCTCAAGTATTATATTAATCAAATCGTTATTTTTAGATCTGAAATTGCGTGGTCGTGGTGGTTCTGATGGAAGTATTTCTCCAGCGACTAAATCTGAATCGAGCAAATGTCTCATCAGTGTTGTCGTGATGTCACTTTTGATTTCGTCACATTGTTCGAGACGAGTTTGACCATCGTGAAAACTGGATGAGTTTGTGCTGAGTTAAACATTTTGCAAAATGTACTGCTACTGACTAAATATAAAACAATTAGAATATAGAATTAACGCTTAAGTATGTATTATAGTAGGTGTAAATTAATTTAAGATTGTATTATATACATTTATAAGATATATTTATATTAGAGAATATTTAAATATAATTTTAGGGTTGTATTAATATTTTATACTTGATTTATATATTAGAAGCATTACTTGTAAGCAATACTTACGTAAGCATTATAATTGCGTTAGTGATAATTCATTTTATAAATTGATCTCAAAACGCTTAATTAAATATTTATGTAATATAGAAGTAAAATAAATTAAAAAAGGTATTGTAGGTATGATGATTTTTTGTATAAAAATATATCTAATGTATTATAAATAAAAATACATAGTATACAATACTGTAAAAACATAAAAAAATATCTTACAACATTGCTTTTATTTTAAAACGGTATAAAAATATAACTAGAGAAAACGCTATGTAAATGATATATATAAATGCAAATATTATAAACTTAAACAATTGTAAAGACTATGTTACAAATGTATGTATATATAACTTTAATGGTGAAGCTATATTATTTTGTATATACATGTAAATGTTGCTAATGAAATACAGATCGTATATACAGCAATATTTTTATATTTATCAATATAAAATCATCATTTATAATTAATCAAATAAATTGAATATAAATGATTTTAAATTTCATTGCATTTTTTAGGTTTTAACATATAAGACTACAATTAGATTACAATTTGATTGTTGCTAAAAATTAAAAATCGTGATTAACAATTTCAAGTTTACTGCAGGTAAATAAGTAAATAGGTAATATTTTTGAATATTTTCACTTATTATTCATATAATCATTAGTATTCTAAACATGGAAAAATAACTTATATACATCGGATATACAAATGTTTTTACTATGAACACTAGTTACACCGAAGAATAAATTGGTCTATAGGCGTCATACGTATACGTATACAATTATTATTATATGATCATATTTCAACATATAGTTACATAAATGCATAGTAAATAATAATAGTAAAAAGGAAATAATAATATAATTTATGCATTAAAAAATTATTAAAAGAGTTGGAAACTAGCTTTGGACGATTTATATAGTTCGAGTTAGTAATTATATTATGTTTTTAATAATATTAACTAATGTTATGTATATTTTCATGTCAAATAGTGATGCAGTAATGCCAAGCCAATAATAGTATGTTGAAGAAATTTAAGTATCATCAATTACAACATGAATATTTTCAACACCTTTCTTTATAACAGGTATGCTAATTATAAAAATTGACCATAAAAATATCAGTTATTATAGATGCACCCCATAACCTCATATTTTTTTGCAGATTTTGACTATCTACATGGGAAGTCGGATGCTTCCAAAGGATTTGTAAGTATGTCGTTCAAAATTATTATGTCATCAATATGCGCAATAAAATATTAAAATAAGTCTATTTCCAGATACATACAAGTCTCACAATACCTCAAATGATGGCATTAAATATTTGGAACCCCCTATAAACCGTTATTGATTGAAAATTCATCAAACTAAGACAACAATATAATGATTTTCACATTTTAAACTGTGAACAATTATTGAGACCTTACAGAATCGGTCTCCAAAGAGTTAACTACATATTGAGTCAAGTATCCAAAAGTCTCAAAATTTGTACACAATGGTATTTGATTGATAAAGTATTGAAGGAACTTATCATAAAGAAATTTCATAGAGCAACATATTCAAAAAATCTGACATTTTCTCAGGTCAATAACATCCAAATATTTTAATGGCTCAGAACTATCTATGGTATGATTAAATGGATATTTACTACTTAACAATGTAATAAAAGATGTTGTTTGTGAAAAATTATGAAATAAGAAAACTAAATATCCTTTCCCGTCCCATTCCTTCTTCTCCTCCTCGTGGCTGTCACCTTATCGCGGTGAGGAGGTCCAGCTGGGCGTTGAACGCCCAGTTGCTAAGAGCAGCCGTCTCTTGAAACTATATAAACCACTTATATTTATAGGTATCTTAATTAGTAAGTATATTTATTTATTTGAAATGTCATTAAACTGAATATTTTATTTTAGGTGTTTATACATCGATTGCATGCACATATGAATATAACATAACTAGCAAACCCGACGAACTCCGTTTTGCCACCAGATGGTTTCGTGAGAGGGATGAAGAAATTTGTTGTTTGTTTTATATTTGAAAAGATAAAATTTGATTTTATTACACAACAGTGATGAATTTATTTCTATTACAAAAATGAAGTGTTTTTCAGTTGAACTTCTCTAGGTAAATGAAAGAGAATCCGCAAATTATACGTTTCATTGAAGTGCTCTTTGGTAAACCACATTTTTTGTTTTTTTGGTCTGACGTTTACACAAACAAAGCGGATGGTTTCCCAACTCGTGAACAGGAAACATATAACTGCCCATGTGAAAAACAATGATTTTCTAAATTTATCCCGCAAACACTAAGCGATTGGCCTTGCGACTTGTTAATTGTCTTTGCGAATGCAAGGCGAACTGGAAATGGCAATCGTTTGAAGTCAAACGGAAGACCAGTCAGAATCATCAGTATGTCACCAAATCGCCAGCAATTTATGACTTAGTTGAGCTCGAGCAGCCGACCCGAACGGATCGAAGCTGAAATTCAATAGTGCGCAATAGTGTTACGTAAACAACAAGTGTGATTGTTAATCACCAAATATCTAGTGTAGTGATACAGTGTTTCGTACAACAAATGCCCCTTTTAGGGGGGGCATTTAATTGTAAATAAGTGAATAATTTTATTACAAGTATGCAAAATCAAGAAAATATAACTTATTCTATCCCTCCGTTAGTTGAAACTATCAACATTCTTCATGATACGTCGACGATGGACAATGAATATATTAAACAAGTAATCAACAAACAGAAGACTAATAGTTCAATTAATGGAAAAAACCAATCAGACGATACGATTATGAACGAAATAGTTCCGTTAACTTCTTGGCAAACAATAGAACCAGGCAGCAAACAAGTAATCATCAATCAGAAAACTAATAGTTCAATTAATGAAAAAAATCAATCAGACGATACGATTATGAACGAAATAGTTCCGTCAACTTCTTGGCAAACAATAGAACCAGGCAGCAAACGCAGACGCACATCGGCTAATAAATATGTCGAAAATGTAAACATAACGCCGACTCGAAACAGGTTCGATGCATTAAAAACAAACAAAGGTCATCCGTCCGAAACAACAAAAACACAAACTGATAACACCGAGAAAAACTACAAGGCCACCTCCTATATTTCTATATAATGTAAATAATTTTTCTGATATGGTATCTGATATTAATAGTGTAATAAACAGAGAACAATATTATACAAAATCAATGTCGGACGATACAGTGAAAATAAATGTTCAACAGCCCGAGCAATACAAGCTGCTTATAAACTTTTTCAAAACAAAAGGTACTGTTTATCATACTTATCAACTTAGAAATGAAAGAGCATACAGAGTGGTACTCAAAAATATCCATCATACATACGATATCAACGAAATAAAAACGGAACTAGAGAAGAAAATCACAAGGTCAGAAATATAATAAATATGAGATCGTATATAACTAAAAAGCCACTCAACATGTTTTTTGTTGTGTTGGAACCCTCTGATAATAATAAAGAAATTTACAATATCACAAAGTTGTTGAACCATATTGTAGTAATTGAAGCGCCCAAAAGAGAAAAGGATTAATACAATGCACAAGATGCCAAAATTATGGTCATTGCAAAACATATTGCAATCGACCATTTGCTTGTGTCAAATGTGGAGAAAATCATAACTCAAAAATTTGCGTAAAACCAAAAAGTACGCCTGCTACGTGCGCACTTTGCGGTAAAGATCACCCCTCAAATTACAGAGTTGCGAAGAATACAAGGCCGCGTACTCCACTGCTTACAAGAAAACATATACAACAAAAAAATCACATGATACGAGAGATATTCATGATCCAAACACAAGT